TTCACCCTAACACCTAACCCTAACCCTAACCCTAACCCTAACCCTAACCCTAACCCTAACCCTAACCCTAACCCTAACCCTAACCCTAACCCTAACCCTAACCCTAACCCTAACCCTAACCCTAACCCTAACCCTAACCCTAACCCCCCCTCTTTATATAACTAGAAAATACTAGGGCAGATTAGCTTAGATAGGAGAATATACCTAACCTAACCCAAAGATCTGAGATCACTAGTCCCTATGACTATGACTATATTAACTAGGGTTAACTAGGGAATGAGGGTATAGGTCCCCGTCCTGTTTCCGAACTCTCTTCGCTATTCCGTTTAATTTTCGTTCGTACAGGACGCAGCCTATCATACTATTATCGGGTCCGAGTCAGGAAGCGCATGACAACGTGGATTCTGGATTCCTTCGTAATCTTGGAACTGCGGGTCAATTGGACTTTGAGCCTCTCAGCTGCGTTCTTGAGGTGATGACAGATTCATCGCGCCTGTCCGGCTAGATCGGCCTGTTAGCCTCCTCCACTTTGCGGCTCTTTTACTGCCGGCATACCCGCCTACGGCAGTGCTACGGGATGAAAGCTTGGTATTCGCTGCCTTCGATATCGAGCTAGAGAATGACGACGATAATATCGCGTGTCGAACCCACAATAGTCAACAGATCACGGTGTTCCTGATCACTCCGCGGCTCTTTGTCTCCATCGAAACCAATGTTGAGATGCCTCACTGCGGACAGTTCGCGGCTTTCGTCCCGCATAATCATGTTCACCATCGTGTCCTCTCCACGTCCTGCCCCATTGACCTACCATGGCGACAGTTGGGGCTCCGCATTACTCCCCGCAATAGTGAGCGGGCGTAAGGGTAGGTTTGTATAAAGCTGGGGTCCCGTGCTGTTCGACATTTCATGTTCACTGGTATCTCAACCTCTACGTCACCTAAGCCGCGAAAATGGGCTACTTTGGACTCACCGGACACGCCTTGAGCGTCCTTCAAATCGCCTTGATTGTCTGTCCAGCATTCATTCTCTTCGGTTACAATCAAGCGGGATTAGGCGGACTATTGACGACCCAAGACTGGGACGAAGACGTTTCCCGAGATTGACACCGTTCATACAACCGGCAGTGAGAAGAAGCAAAAGTCGACACTCCAGGGCTTTGTGGTGCAACATTCACCAATTGGAGCTCTTTGCGGCGCTCTTTCCTTGCTCGTGGACGGGGCGGATAAATTCGGGCGGACGAAACGTCATC